GGCGCCGCTAAAGCTGTCAAAGCCAATATACACGACTAAATAAAGCTTCGCCACGCGACTCCGGCAGGAGAAGAGGGCGCGGCGCGTCCCTCGCATGTGTCCCGAGCCCGAGCTGTCCGCGCGCGGCGAGCCGGGCGGGGCGGGGGGCGCCCGTCAGGGAGACTCGCCCGCCGCGCCGCAGAGTTGGGCGGGATTGCCTACCCGTCGGGCGACCCCGCCTGCTCCACGCAATCAGCGCCCGGCGGCCCGCACATGTGGCCCGGCCCGCGGCAAGACGAGCACGGCGACGGACAGCGTCAAAGTTAGGCAACACGGACTGGCGCGGAAAGGCTCCCGACCGTTGCCCCTGCGAGGCCCTTTTGCACCGTGGGCAGCAGCGCCTGGATCGCGGATGCGGCCGCGCAAAGAATACCTCGTAAAGGTCCTAAAGTTTGTGCCCTTGGTATTTTTAGTGTCTTTGTAAAGGCACTAACGAACCCCTCAGTGCCTTTGGAAGAGTTAAAGCTATCATCTTTGTTTTACCAGTGCTGGACCTAGCTGGAGAGGGGGGGGGGGACGTTGCCGGCTCACAACGTGTGCCTGGCCAGCGAGCTGCACACTGATTCCGAAGAGACATCAAGGGGCACTGCCCCATGAGTGCGACAGGGACGGAGCTATACGGAGGCTATAGGAGAGCGTTCTTCGGAATCAGTCGGTTGGCTTGCCCGGGGGGCGGGATCCGGCGGCCACAAAGAGGACGGGGCAGACGTCGGCAGCTCCACTCCGCTCCGCTTTGCTGCTCCATCGTTCAGATTTTAATTATGGCGAGTGCGATTGATTCTGCTGGTCTGGGCGGCAGCGGCCGCCGGGGCCGCCTCCGTCCGCCCTCCGCCACTGCCGAACGTAAACAAATCCCCCCCCCCCTTTCCTCTTCCCTCCGCTCTTCGTTGCGCGGCTATTTATCCGAAAAGACGGCCACGGTTTTTTTGTTTAAGCCCCGGGTGGATCAAAAGAGAGTGAGAGTCTTGGGGGTAGGGGGGGGGGGAGAGTGGGAGTAGTCCGTTGCCCGGGCGGGCGCATAGAGTGGCCAAAGGTTTGCGGAATCCGCCAGCCGCGCTTGAAAAATGAAAAGGCTCCCACGACGACAGTGCTACAAGATACCCCCCCCCCCCCTCCTCCTGCCCCTCCCCTCTCCACCGACCACCTCCGCGCGACGCTGAATTTACTTCCCCTCGACCGCAGCGGGAAGAACTTTTAGCGAACTCATCTCGTGGCGTAAACATGGAAACAACCGGGAAGTGTTTCACACCACGGACTAAGGAGGCGGCACTGCGCCCGCGCCCCGGGGCGAGGGGCGGAGGGGTCCCGGGAGGTTCCAAAGACAATAGCAGCGCTGAAAATCGCAGAGTGAGTTTTCTTTCGTTCTCGGGGCATGGGTGCAGCCATATACTGTGCTCTTGTCGGCCACTCGACAAATAATGATCTCACTCTACTTCGGCTGACGTAGAAACGAATCGCTCAATTTGAGCGGGTAACAAGACTCTCGTGTTGAGCACTGACCGGAAGCCCCGTCAGAGTCTCTCCAGAGAGAAGGTAAACTACCTAGTTCTCTCTGGAGACTCTTCGCCGGCAGGAAAGTCTCTCTGGCGGAGTCTCAAGCTCAACGGCCGGCCGGGCCCGGCCACCCGGCCAGTCCCAAGGCCCCGGCGAGAGCCTTGATGAGGGCGCAAAGGCCGCGCGCCTCTGATCAATATGAAGAGTGCAGCGCTCCAAAACTTATCCCATTCCAGGCAGGTGCCGGGGGCTGGCCGGGCCGGCCCTCCAGGAGGAGCAGCGCTGGAAGTGCTCGAGGGGCGGGCTGTTGGAGGAGGGCAGCGCGCGCAGGAGGCGGGCGCCTGAAATCTGTCGGCATCACTGTCCCCCGCTGTCCCCGGGCGTCCTGCTCGAGGACACTAGGCGCGGGCTGATCCTGCTTGCAGGCAGGACCTTTCAGGGTAATGGTGCCGAGCCCGGCGAGGAGCCCGGCAGAGCCTGGCAGAGCCCGGGCCACACCGCCGCCGCCGCGAGTCGGCCCGCGCAAAGGCAAACTTGTGTGCGCAGGTGCAGGCGGAGCCGGGGACGCGCGCGGCGCGCAAAGTTTTAGGGAATTATATGATATATACCAACGCTAACCTCGTTCAACAGTTTAGCGTCTGCAAGGCACAGACCCTTCCGCCGCCAGCCGGCGGCCCCCACGGCGCGCCCGCGAGTTCGGCAGCCCCTCGTACGGCCCGGCGACAAGCCGCCGCCGGCCCGGGCGTGGAGGGGACGCGCACCAAGCCGCCCAACTTTACTCACCTCCTGAAGTCCCTGCTCCAGCAGGCGTAAATGACGGGGTTCATCCCCGAGTTGATCCAGCCCAGCCACGTGACGATGGCGGACACAAGCTGCTCGTTGACGATGCACGCCGGGCAGAAGCCCGACAAGAGGTTGACCACAAAGAAGGGCAGCCAGCAGACGATGAAGACGCCCATCACGATGCCCAGCGTCTTGGCCGCCTTCTTTTCCTTGGCGAACTTGGCCAGCTTGCGGCTGATGCTGAAGTTCTTGCCGAGGTTCTTGCTGTGGCCGGCGCTGCCGCTGCCGCCACCGCCGCCGCCGTGCCTGGACAAGCCGTTGTGCGGCGACGGCGTGAGCGGGTCCTCAATGTCGCCGGCGGGCATGGGCTCCTCCGGCGTGGAGGTAGCCGACTGGTAGGCGTGGCTCTGGCTGGCGCGCTGCTGCTGGTGCTGGTCCGAGGGCCCGCCGCTGCTGCCGCCGCTGCTGCCCGTGCCGCCGCGGTGGATGCGCAGCGTCAGCTCGAGCTCGCCCGAGGCCATCATGACCTGCTTGGAGCCCAGCTTGAGCGAGCGCGTCTGGATGACGGCGGCGCGGTAGATGCGGTAGTAGGTGAACACCATGACGAACAGCGGCAGGTAGAACGAGATGGTGGAGCTGAAGATGAGGTAGGTGAGGCTGTCCGTGAAGGGGCACTTGAACTGCGGCACCTCCTCGGAGCGCACGGCGCGCCACCACAGGATGGCCGGGAACGAGATGGCGCTCGAGCACACCCACACGGCGGCGATCAGGTAGATGGCGCGGCGCCGCGTCATTTTGGTCGGGTAAGTGAAAGGGTCGGTGATGGCCCAGTACCGGTCCAGCGAGATGACGCACAGGTTGAGGATGCTGGCCGTGGAGAAGAGCACGTCCAGCGAGCGCCACACGTCGCACCAGTCGGTGCCGAACAGCCACTGGTTCTCTACCACCTCGTAGACGGCGCTGAAGGGCATGACGACGAAGCCGACCAGGCAGTCGGCCACGGCCAGCGACGTGACGAAGTAGTTGGTGGCCGTGTGCAGGTAGCGCTCGCGCACCACGGCCGCCACGACCAGGGCGTTGCCAAACACGGTGGCCACTGAGCACAGGAGCAGCAGCACGGCCAGCGCCGAGCGCTCGCGCGCGATGTCCAGCGCCCCCCAGCCGGCGCCCCCACCCGCGTCCGTGCCGTTCCAGTCGCCCGTCGCGTTCCAGTCGAGCGTCCAGTTGGCGCCCAGCGCGGCGGTGGCGGGGGCCGCCACGCCGTAGTCCAGCGCCGCCAGCAGCCCGGACGAGTTCATATTCGCCGCACGTCCGACCGGACGACGCGTCGGCCCGCGCTAACTAAATTTATCCTAAACGTGTAAAACGCTCCTCTTCGGCCGGCTTAAGTGAACCGCTCCGAAGTTGGCGGGGCGGGGCAGCCCCGACCTTGTCGGCGTGCCTGCTCCGCTCCGCTCGCGGCTTGCGCGGGGCGCTATGCGGAGGCACGCCCGGCGAGGCGCCCTGCGGCCCACGCGGCCCGCCGGGAGGTGATCGGGAAGGGTTCGGTCGCTGCGAGGCGGATCCTTTGGCTGCTCCTGCTTCTGCTGCCGCTGCTCGGCGCTGCTCGGCGGCATGGTGCTGCGGCGGCGGGGGCGGCGGCGGCGGTGGAGGCGGCGGCGGCGGAGGCGGAGGCAGCGGCGGCACGCGGCACCCGCCACGCACGCCGCCGCACGCCCCGGCGCGCCCGCCTCATCAATGCCGCGCCACGCCCACGGGCCACCGAGGGAACGCCCGCCGGCACCTGCAACAACAGAGCCGAACAGGAGGCACATTAGCGAGGTCCACAAGATGAAGATCATGCTTGTACGCCCACCCAACACAAAAAAAGGGCTTTTTCTAGGTTTGGCTTCCATTCCATTATAGCAATGGAGCGAAGGTTTTGGAGATGATAGGCCCGGCCCATTGAAGTCAAACAGCAAAGTCCAAGCAAGGGTCTAATACGGGGCTGGTCAGTGATAATTGACGCCCTATCATTTCTCCACAAAATCCTAATACAAGCGCAACAGAAACACCAGCGCTTTTCTACGGGGACTATTATAGTAGCACCGTTAAGGGGCATTATTGCTGAGCAAAGCGAAGCACTCTCAAGGAAACTTTAAATCAAAAACTCACATGTATATATTAGTACCTCTGTAGCATTATGAAATATTTAGATATCTACTCAAGTTGGATACATATCCTGCCCAGATCTTCAAACCGAACTATATGGGACTGGGATATGTAACTCTTAGCCTGCGCCCACATGATGCATCAATCGTAACTGTTTACATTACAGAAACCTAATTTGCTTTGAATAGGACAGCAGTTGATGTGATGCTACACTCTAAAAAAAATTAATACAAAAATCTGTAATTTGGATATGCAGTTTTTTTCAGCATCCGTGATACAAAAAATTGTATTCCTTTGGATACAATAACAAATCTGTAATACAGATACAGAAATTTGTATCCATTGATACAGAAAAAATATGTTTATGTTTAAACATGCTCTGATATGAAAGAAAAATATTTTTTCCCTCCTGGTTGTCTCATTCTAGATATTGCCCACACATGACACGCAATTAATTTCAATGTTGTACCTTACCTCTTACCTTACCGGGATTTGAACCCCAAACCTCTGGGTTGGGATCCGACCCCTTAACCCACGCGGCTAAGGCGACTACCTGCGAGAAGCCGTGCTCTGACCCGGTGTCACTCTTCCCCATGTATTGGCTGGCCTCTGAGCCTTTCCCTTAGCTATCGGGCCATCAGATGGAACTTTTATGTGAATGCTTAGGAAATTGATTTTATCGCAGATGTTGCCAGAATCAGTCGAACAGCTACTCAAATTGTGTTCAAATTGAGCGTTAAAACGGCGGAGTTTTAACCGCACGTACTAATTTCTGTTTCCATGTTACAGAAATGTGTATCCCGTTTACAGAAATTTGTAATCAGATTACAGAAAATTATAAAATGAATTTAAAATTCTGTAATTAATTAAAAATTTTGTAATGTTTACAAATTTCTAAAAACTATTATAATATTTTGTATCACCGATACATATTGCTGAATCACAGTGCTCGGATACAGAAAACTATATCAAATTGGATACAAAAATCTGTAATTTTTCTTAGAGTGTAAATACAAAATTACTGAACAAATAGACACTTTTTAAACAACAGTATGAAATGTCCAAATATGTTTCAATTACAGGGGACCTTTTCTGTTGCATCAGACATCATGTTTACACCTACTTGTGAAATAACACACCTTCATGTAATATTCCAGTGGGGAGGTTAATAACCTCAAAGCTCAATAGTTTCCCTGCATTCCCAACCATTGGCAATAGCATCACATTATAAAATACCAAAAGCACTACATAAGATTCATCACGGATTGAATTCTAATAAAAACAGCGACTGACATTGACTTGTATACAGTTTAGAGCTGTATGATGGATGAAATTAATCCTTTCCACAGGCACCATGACAGTTATGTTGACTGGACTGAAGGGCGGTAAACGGGCGGGCCGTGGTGTTATTAGGCAGGTAAGGGAGGTGGCGCGCTCTCGTGTCCAATCGCGAAGTTCGACGTTTTGGTCATTCCCTCTGACGTCACCGATAACCCCGCCGCCTGGTCGCCTGAAAGTATGAGAACTATAGACTACCTGTCCCGAGCCTGCCAGGGCGAGAGAAGAACAAAAGCTCCGGAAGTAGTATGAGAAGTTCGTCGCCCGGAAGAGACGCGAACGCCAATTTTGACCTCTGTTATTACTCATGTAGCATTGACGTAGTATAAAATTACTCGAAATGCATTTTAAACATCAAACTCAAGGGTTCTCAATGCGTAAATTGATCATACGCGCATACGCGCCTCTTTCGGGCGACGAACTTCTCGTACCATTTCCGGAGTTTTTGTTCTTCTCTCGCACTGGCAGGAACGGGACAGGTAGTCTATTGCGGATGGTGCGCCAGCGTACACCATATTACGACGCGCAACTACAACTATGACAGGTTGTCGAGCCGGGCGAAGGGGTGCGACTGCAGTGCAGTGTTTTTCCGATTCTTCCACCGTCGTTTGCCAGCCAGCCTGCGCTGCGACGGTTTCTACTACGATATTAGGCCCTTCCTTCTTGTTCCTCCACTTCGTTGTGCCCGAGTCTATCGACGGGAGCTTGATCACAAGGCACCGCTGTCGGGAGGTCCTGCCCGCCGGACGGGGAGGACGCCGCCACGTCAACGGGCAGGTCGCCGACGGCCAGGATTCGTACGGAGAATTGGATCTGGAGCAGATAAGTCAGGGGAACAAGGAAATATGTTGATACCAGCGTGTTCCCCTGTCTTTTCTGCTTCAGATCGAACCTTCTGTTTGAATCAAGGTGGCGATACAGGGTGGTCCCAGTGTGGCACAGAGTACCCCCAGTAGCGCCAACCGCATTCAATGCGCTTCAATGCGCATTGAAATGCACATAAAAGGTTACACATTGGTGACGCATTAAAAGCGCATTACAGCATTTAAGACGCATTCAATGCGCATTTAATGCACTCTACGCGCATTTAATGCGTCACCAATGTGTGACCTTTTATGTGCATTTCAATGCGCATTGAAGCGCATTTAATGCAGTAGCGCTTCTGGGGACATCGAAAGTGCTTGCCGAGGTGCTCGAGGTACCGTGAGTTGTAGAGGCGGGCAGGGAGGGAGTGCAAACACGAGGATGCATTTAGACGCGGTGAGAGGAGGACGGCGAGAGCGAGATTGAGAGCCGTGCGGTCAGGCTTGTCCTTGACCAGCACTCTCGCCTCAATCACATTGTTTGGTCCAATCACGACGGCATCTACACGTCAACAACCTCCTGTTTGGCCCCGGCGGCGCCGGGTCGCGGTGGCGAGGGGGGCTGAGGCTGAGCCGCTAGGGCGAGACCCCAATCGCTCAACGCATTCCTCAAGGCGGCTCAAAGGGGCGCCCACCTCAAACGCACCGCAAAGGGACGGATTGGGCGGACCGCGAGGGGTTCGGCGGGGGCCGGGGTTCAAATACCCAGAGGGTGACTTGGGCGGCGCAGTTTTCTTTCTCGTCGTGTACCTCGTTCCCCTCACGGAGTCTGTCTGTCTCTACCTATCGCACCACCCCTTTGCTTTTAACTGGTAGGTCCGCCCGGGCCGGGGGTGGGAGTTTGCTGAGTACAGACAAAGTTACATAGCTGCCAAACCAATTACAAGAAGTGGTGGTGTTCCCCCCTACTCCGGCCCCTCGACGCCGCCACTGCTGCCTCTGAGTGGGCAACTCGGTCGGAGGGAGAAAACTGTGCCGGCCGAGGTGGTCCGTGTCCGTCTGTCTGAAGGTGTCGGCTCTGAGCAGACTAACTGGACGGCGTAGAGGCAGCGACGGCGCCAAAAGTTGCGGTGCTTTCAGTTATTTAGAGGAAAGGCGGAGGTTTGGGACCGCGGGGGGGCCGGGGTTAGGGAAGGGCGGTACCGGACACACTTGGAAATAGACTGTCACTGCTTACGGGCGCGTCAGTTATTCCATTGCCTCCCCCTCCAGCTGTCCCCCTCCCCAGCCACAGCCGCCTCCAGGGCGGGCGGATATTGTACGCCCCCGGTCGGGAGAGCCATGTGGATCTGAAAGTCAATAGGTGGAGCGAGGGCCCCAGGCCCCGGGGCGGTCCTGCGGTGCCCCACTCCCCCGGAAGGGTTACGGTTAGTTGGGTCAGCGGTGGCGCTTCCGCTGGGGCTAGTGATGGGAGAGGGGTGGAGGTGAGGGGGGTGCTGCAGTTGTCACCGGTGCACTGTGCCAACAGCCAAGAGACAAAGGGATGCTGCACACCCAAGGCAAGCGCAAGCAAAAATTTGGCACGTAAACTTTATTGTGTTTTTTGTGCACCACGACACGACTTAACTACTCGGACGTTAGTGGGCATTTGCGAAAACTTGAAATTGCATCTGAGAAGATATAAATTGCAATGACTTATCATGTAGGCATTGAGAAGAATTGTGTTTGAATGTTCCACGGGAAACGCTCGAGCGGTAAACAGCAGTTGCACATGGTCCTCATCGTCCTCATACACGCCAGCCGTGCAGTCCTTTGTTGACGGACGCCGACCAGACCACCGAGCTGTGTCGTGTCCGTCGTGTCGTGTTGCCGCCAGCGAGCGATGTACAGGCATCCCTCCCTATTCGCTCCCCCCTCCTCCCGGCCACCCCAACGAGCAGCATGGGGCATATCATTGCATGATCAACAGCAGCAACTGACAAAGGAGGGGTAAGACTGGGCCGCGAAACGGCCCGTATTTTCGAACACCCAAATATAATAAACTCTAAAAATCGTTATCACTTCATAGTGTTGCGAAATGAAGAGAGAAGGCTGCAAGTTTCCAAGTAATTACAAACAACAGTTTGTTTTCTTGTGTGTTTTTCTTTTAAAAGTGCATCAGCCACTTACGGGTAATTTGTTTTCAGGTAAATAGATACAAATAACAAGTGCGTGTGTGTGTGTGTGTGAGAGAGAGAGAGAGAGAGAGAGAGAGAGAGAGAGAGAGAGAGAGAGGGGGAGCGGGGGAACGTCATGCCAACAACGCCGCCCGCGTGGCTGACGACAACACAAAGTTCAGCGATGCCCTAGAGAGAGCGTCCAGCAGCAGCGCGCGAGCAGCGCGAGCCACCACAAGCGTTGGAGGGAAAGGCAGAGAGGAAAGGAGGGAGGGAGAATGGAGGGGGTGGCAATTAGCAGTGGGGCTGGGGTTGGGGGGCTGTTGACAACAGCC